CGCTGTTAGAAGTGAAACCGAATCTGAGTCTGCTGTGTCAAATAGAGACGGGGGACACCCCTAACTAAAATCTCAGCTTCCGAGCATTCCAAAAGTTTCTGCACCAAAAATTTCAAATGTCTGTAGGGGTACATAAAGGCTGAATTTAAATTTACTGGGACACGCGCAGCAAAGGAACATTCCCCTAAGATACCAGCTTTCTAACTTGCCCAAAACATTCACGTGGCATATATGGAACCCTGGCTTACGTGAGAGCTGGATTCGCGCTCGTGAGATCACATGCCGGCAGGGGACTCCCACTCAAAATTTCAGCTTCCTAGCTTCTGCGGTCCCGAGTTGGAAATCACGGATAAAACGCACTCGGAACACGCATACATACAAACAAACAGACAAAAACGGTCTCGATATGCGTTTTGTGCAGCTGCTGCAGCATAAAAAACATAAAAACGCAGTCTGACTGAATCAGATCAACAGCCCGAAGCAAGTAATGGAGCACCCAGTTTCCGCCTGAAAAGCGCAGGAGCAAGATCCTTTTTCAGGATAATATCTTCGTTATTGATGGAAATTGACAATTCCCAGCAATTTTCGACGCCTCATTCATCCGATATATCGATTTTTACAGTATTATGCTATATAATAGCTACGCAAAATGCACATTGTCATGTCCCTGCGTATGTGTGTGGTGCTCCGGGTATGGACCACAAAAGCTGGGGAGCTGAACTTTTACGAGAATGTTTCCTCACCACTCTCCTCCCACACGTGCGATCTCGCAAATTTAAATTCAGCTTTCACGTACGTTTGGGTCTCATGCACAGGCACGTGAAAGTTTGGTGGTAAAATTACTAATTTGGCTAGGGAGCTTAGAAAGTAGTATTTCAAGCTCATGCGCGGCCCAAAAAATTTAAATTTAGCTTCCCCTTATACTTAAGTCTCAATTACAGAAGCGTGGGTACTTTGCCACGAGATTTTCTGCCAGGGGAACTGACAAAATGGAAAGTTAAAAATTTTGTGTGATGCTTCCTGTAAATGTGCATTTTTGAAACTTTAGCCTTAATTTGCATTTGTCTCAGGTACAGACACGTGAAATTTTACGAGGATTTTCCCGTCCAAGTAGGTATTAATGAGCTCAAACCCAGCCGCCAGGCAAGCGTGATACCCACGTACGGGTCCGTGAAAGTTTTCGA